ACAACAACAACAACAACAACAACAACAACAACAACAACAACAACAACAACAACAAAACCAACCTTCCCTATCCCATCATCCTCCCCCAACGCCGCCCGAGCACCAAAACCCGCAGCTTTATCCACGCTTACGCCCCGGTACTTTCCACACACGTCTCTCCTCCCCTCGCACCTGTCGACTTCAACGCCTTCCTCGCCTCCTTGCAACGCGCCGCTCGCGCTTCCCCCATCTTTGACGCCGTACTGCTCACTGCCGGTCTCGTCGGGATATATCCTGGTTGGATCGCGCTGGCGGTCACAACGGCGGCACAAGTAGCTGTGAAGGTCGGGCAGGAGATGCAGGAACGGTGGCAGGTGAATAAAGCGTTAGAGGAGGCCAATAGAGAGATTTGGGGTCCAAGGGGATTGTGGGCGATGGTGGTGAGGTGGGTGCCGGAGGAGGGACTTGGGGAGGGAGAGGCGGTGGGGAGCACGATGGTGGATATGAGTGCGGTAGTGGTGGTGAAATATGGGGGTGCGTCGGGGTTGGGAGTGGCGGAGGGAGCAGATCAAGGGGAGAGTAGCATGGTGAGGGAGGTGAAGGAGAAGGTGAAGAGGTTAAGGGTGGCAAGTGGCAAGACGAATGGGGAGGAGAAGATGCCGGTTGAATGTGCGCAGTTGGTTTTCCCGGAAATAGATGAAGCGGCAAAGAAGGCCGCCGTGGAAGTGAAGAAAGAAGGAAAGGAGGTGAGTGTTACATCTGTTGTGGAGTCATTTGTGGGCAAGGCGAAGAGTTCGAGTAACTTTGTGAATGAGTATCTGGATCGCAGGGCGGCAATGGAGTTCGTAAGTACCCTTCTCATACTCGTGCAAAGATTGGCTTATTGCTGACTTGGCGCGATGGCACAAGCGTATAAACATCCGAACTCCACGCTTACTGCTCTTGCACCTCCTGCGGAACCTTTCAAGTCGCGCTTCTCTGACCCGAATGCTGCGGTCAACAAGCATCTCATTACCATGATCACTGGTGGGCGCATCAAAGCCGAGCCGTTGGGGGCGCGTAGACGGTGGGAGAAGGCGCAGAGGAAGCGGAGAGAGCAGATCGCACAGGGGAAATTGATAAAGCCGGCCAAGAGATTCTTGCAGGAGGACGTGTTGTACCTAATGATTGTGAATATGCCGACCGAAGAAGAGTTAGCAGAGGCAAGAAAGAAGATTGCAGAGGCTAAGAAGGAAAAGAAGTAGAAAGTATGAAGGAGCAAATAGGCAAGCGATTCCAATTATTCCGAGCCATGAGATTTCATTAGAGGTCTGCAGTTAAGATGTATAGGATCATGTCCCTGAAAGCACTCTCCATATTGTTCTGTGGCTTGCCGTAGCTCAGGGCAAGGCGCCAAGCCAGACGGTTTCTTCTATTAGTGTCCAATGAGAGCCGACTTATTCGGGCTTTTCGAAGATCAGAGTTCGCGGCGAAAAGGGAAAGCTGAACGGGACGACGCCGGCCAAAAAAGAACTCAGATCCACAGCCCTACGTCACCAGTGGTGCTGCGACCAGGGATCATCGCCTGACAGTTGACAGCGACAGGCCCAGAGCAGGTAACAGAGTGCAACGTGCATACAATAGACTTCGGTGTCTGCTCGTGGTCGGAATTCTTTCACGATGGCATGCGTCGGTGTCTGACGAGCTCGGGAACCATTTTCCCGAAACAGCGTCGGGGCTCTGGAATGCGGAGCGAGTTGCCGTTTGAGTCGGGCTGGCCAGTGGGCGTCGCGCGTGGCCGTGGAGAAGGAAACTCTGGGGAACGCGCACTAGCAGTCGTGGAGGTCTGAGGCTCGTGTCGCAAGCAGCGAATGGCGGTTCTTTCACATGTCAGCGCGGCGACGTCAGCTGGCGGACAGGGTGCATTGAGCAGCCCGATCACGAGGCGGCCCTGGCAGGCCTGGGCGGCGCGTTCACATGCGCGAGCGTAGGGGCGGACAGGGCGGCGGTGGTTGCGCGGAGGGCGGCGGCGCGGTTGGGGCCCGCTGGGGGTTAGCAATGCCGCGGCGGCGATTCGCTCCTCGCCTGGAATCTGGGGTCAAAGCCGACCGAGCTCCACTAGCGCACGGGCGAGTCGCCGAGGTAAGATGTGGGGAGGGCTGCGCGCCATCCCAAGCAGTCGCCAGACCGGCTTGCCCAGCGCTCATACTTAACCACTGCCGTCGCCCACATTCCCGCGCCTGCGACACCTCCTTCTCGCATCTTCCCTCTCTCCTGCACCTGCATCCTCCCTGTAGTCTCCGTGCAGTCATCATGGCCCCGAGAGTTATTGTCGTCGGCGCCGGCTGTGAGCTCCCTCCCGCTCTCCGCAACCTGCTTTCCGCCGCTGACAGTCTTCGCAGTGTCCGGTCTGAGTGCCGCCCACACCGTCTACCTCTCAGGAGGCAATGTTCTCCTCCTCGACAAGAACAGTAAGTCTCCCGGTGGCGTGAGCCTCAGCAGGCGGTGGATACTTACGGCCGAGCGCAGACTTCATGGGCGGCAACTCCACAAAGGCCACGTCGGGAATCAACGGTGCTCTCACCAGGACTCAGGTCGACCACGAGATCCGGGACAGCGTGAAGCAGTTCTACGACGACACCCTCAAGTCTGCCCGTGACAAGGCCCGTCCCGACCTGATCAGGGTCCTCACATACAAGTCGGCCGCTGCCGTTGAGTGGCTGCAGGATGTCTTCAACCTCGACCTGACCCTGGTCTCGCGGTTAGGGTGAGTAATCCCGTGGGAGCCGCACTGCTCGGGACTGCCGGCTAACAAGCACCGCAGAGGTCACTCCCAGCCCCGTACCCACCGTGGCCACGATGCCAAGTTCCCCGGTATGGCCATCACGTACGCTCTGATGCAGCGCTTCGAGGAGCTCGCCGAGAAGGAGCCCGAGCGCGTCCAGCTCATCAAGAAGGCGAAGGTGACGAGGGTCAACAAGGATGGCAACAGGGCAACCGGCGTGACATACGAGTTTGGCGGCGAGGAGGTCACTGTTGACGGCCCCGTCATTCTCGCCACCGGTGGTTACGCCGCCGACTTCTCGGGAGAGCAGTCTCTGCTGCAGAAGCACAGGCCCGACACCTACGGCCTGGCAACCACCAACGGCGCCCATGCCACTGGTGATGGCCACAAGATGCTGATGGCCATTGGCGCCAACGGCATCGACATGGACAAGGTCCAAGTCCACCCGACCGGTCTCATTGACCCCAAGGATCCCGGCTCCAAGTGGAAGTTCTTGGCTGCTGAGGCTCTCCGTGGCGAGGGCGGTCTTCTGCTCAACGGTAAGGGCCAGCGTTTCTCCGACGAGCTTGGCCACCGTGACTACGTGTCCGGTAAGATGTGGGAGGAGAAGGAGAAGGGCTTGTGGCCCATCCGCCTGGTCCTCAACTCCAAGGCTTCCAACGTCCTTGACTTCCACACTCGCCACTACTCTGGTCGTGGTTTGATGAAGAAGATGACCGGCAAGGAGCTGGCCAAGGAGATTGGCTGTGGCGATAAGGCCCTCCAGGACACCTTCCAGCAGTACAACCGCATTGCAGACGGTAAGGAGAAGGATCCCTTCGGCAAGAAGTTCTTCCACAACCTGCCTTTCGACATTAACGACACGTTCCACGTCGCCCTGATGGAGCCCGTCCTGCACTTCACCATGGGTGGTATCGAGATCAACGACCAGGCCCAGGTTCTGAACCAGGATGGCAAGCCTTTTGACGGCCTGTTCGTCTGCGGTGAGTTGGCCGGTGGTGTCCACGGTGCCAACCGTCTCGGCGGTTCATCTCTGCTTGGCTGTGTTGTCTACGGCCGCGTTGCCGGTGAGAGCGCCAGCAAGTGGCTTTTCCAGAACCTTGTCAGTGGCAGCGTGTCTTCTGCTGCTCAGCGTCTCGGCCAGATCTCGCTGCACATCGATCCCTCGCAGCCCGGCAAGGTCCAGGTCGAGTGGGGTAGCGGCGTATCATCTGGCGACGACCAAATTGCCCGGCAGAAGCAGCAGTCCGCAGCGCCTGTCCTTAGCGGCGGCGCCGACAGCGCAGATCCTGGCAAGGTGTCGAAGCCCAACGATATCAGCACCTTCAAGGTGCCCGAACAGGAGTACACTCTCGAGGAGGTGAAGAAGCACAACAAGAAGGACGACCTCTGGATCGCCGTCAAGGGCGTCGTCATGAACTTGTCCAACTGGGTTGACGAGCACCCCGGTGGTCCTCAAGCCCTGTACTCGCACATGGGCAAAGACGCATCCGAGGAATTCGAGATGCTGCACGACGACGAGGTCATCCCCAAGTACGCGCCTGAAGTCGTCATCGGCCGCGTCAAGGGCCAGAAGATCACCCTGGAGTACTAAGTTCAAAACCGCATGAAGAAGTGACAGATGGCGCGGGAATGGATTGGGTATCTGGCGTTATACATAACTTTTTGGGAACGCGCTTCTTAGCAGGGTCATGATGTTCGGATAGGGTCCCATGTATGGAAAGGGAATTGTATTATTTGATACAGAGATTTTCTCAATGAGAATATAAAGATTCTTCATGATCGCAAGAGATTTTCAGTCAGATTTGAGTATGCCCGATCACGAAAAAGAAAATGAAGGTAGGCAAGCAGTGTGCCGACATCGGGCTTGGTTGTGCGCTAAGCTCATTCGGGAGCATATCATGGTCATCAAGAACCTCACAGCATTTCTTGCAAACATTTCGTAGTACAGTAACGCATGAAAATTCTGGCAGCTGCCGGCTCAGATGGCATAGATCTTTGTGCTCTTCTTTTCCCGAGTGGTACCCGAGTGAGGAGGGGTGGGAAAAGGAGAGCCGAGGTACTTACCGATTGGGGTAGGTGTGGACTTCATCTCATCTCACCTCAGCAATATTATCGTACGAGTTTCGAATGTTGTCGACATGGATTCTATGAGTACGTGCGTGCGTGGATGCATATGGAAGTGTACCGGCGAAACTACTAATCGCACGTGATGCTTGATGGTTTGTGTAAATAGAAGGTTGGTGTTATGGCACTAAAGTGTTGCTTCTCGTTTGCAAAGCTGACCCTCTGCTCTGAACGATGAGTTATTGTCTGTAATAGCCACTAAGTGACTATCCATGGCGGGTGTTCGAATCAAAATTCACTTATGTCATCACTGACTTGGGTGCAAATTTAGTCAACAGAAGGTTCGACATACATATCATTCACAGAATATGATGCGGGCCAGCGAGGCCCAATGAAGATGTTTGGCAGCAGCGAACATCACGAATGCTGTCCATATCCACTAAACTAGAATGCAGACTATGACCATTAGCTAATGAATGTTTAAAAGTCTCCAGCGTACAATTAGCCTATCGAACAAGAATGTACCTCCACCAGTCGAAGTAGATCCGATCCGTTCTCAGGCTCACAGAAAGATCACAGTCAACAATCTGGGCTTGGGCCGGTGCAGATTTCCGCCTCCAGGATTGAACTGAAGAAGACGAGTTATCATTCGAGTGGTTTTTATTCCCAACGCCTCAGATAGATGCCTACGCTCATCACACGCCCGTAGTCCAATCTGCAGGTGACCTCTCGCATGCCACCTCCCTTCCCGCCACCTGGGCTCGGAACATACCTGCCAACCTCCCACCCACTATCGTCTATATAAGCATTCCCACTCCCCGCCTTTCCTCGGATTGCAAAGCAGTAAGCACATTTAGGAGTATATTCCGGTGAAGCTGGACTTTTGGGAACTGGCTTGCTCCTTCTCCTCCTTTCCGGCTTATTTGCCTGAGCCTAGCTTCTACTTCGCGGATAAAGAATCTTACAGCACATATAGTATTAAAATGAGGTTCGCCATCATTTGCGCTTGATGACAAATTCCAGCAACATCCGAAAAATGTGTCCCCATTACTAAGGATATGTTGACTGACCATGCCGATAGGTAGACTTTGTGATAGAGAAGAGAAGCATCTCGTAAAAATCTCTTATGTGAGGTCGGCAAAGAGGGCAAAGAAGTCGGAGGCGTTCTAGAGCGTAACGGCATTCTTTCCGGATAACCTGTGCAAAGATGAGCAAAGGACGGATCGCAACTTTTATAGCGCCGTATTTGGACTACGCATAATGCACATGACAAGTGACAATTCTGCTCAGTGCACATGTCAAACCCAAATCATCATTCATTACATTTCCATACATCCTTCACTGTATTGTACAGCCAATCGCTCCACTGAATCAAACCTTCAAGTTAAGGTCACTCTCCCTATTCCCCCACGCATTTTCCTTCGCCTTGGCCGCGTTCTCGCTCTGCTCGCTCAACGACGGCAGACCGACGCGGGGGTTAATCCAATCGAAAACGGCTGTGTTCCACAGAAGGCTGTTCTCCGGCTTGAGCACCCAATGGTTCTCATCTGGGAAAGTCAAGAACGCACTCTCGACGCCGCGTCCTTGCAAGACGTTGAACGCGGCCAGGCCCTCGGCAATGGTGAGGCGGTAGTCAAGCTCGTTGTGGATGATCAGGTGCGGCGTCGCCCACTTGTCCGTGTGTGCCGACGGGTCCCACTCCAGCCACGACTCGCGGTTCTCCCAGAACTTGCCCTCCAGGTCGTGCTCCGGGAACCACTGCTCCTCCGAAGCCAGCTGCGCAGCCATGCTGAACACACCATCGTGCGTGACGAGCGCCTTGAACTTGCGGCCCAAGTCGTGACCCTGGATCCAGTTGGTCATGTAGCCGCCGTACGAGGCGCCAAGCTCGACCGCACGGTCAGTGTCAACGTACTTGAGATTGTTCTCAATATAAGTAAAGCCGTTGACAATGTCTTCATAGGGGAGACCGCCCCATTCGCCCTGGATGGCATCGGTAAGAGCCTTGCCATAGCCGGTCGATCCAGTAGGGTTCGGTGCAACCACGACGTAGCCCTGCTCGGCGAACAGAGCGGGATTCCACCTTGTGCTCCAGCTATCTTCCCATGCGCCCTGCGGACCACCGTGAATAAGGTATGCAAGCGGCCAGGTCGAGTTGGCGGTGAAGTTAGAAGGAACAATGACCCAGGCGTGGATCTTGGTGCCGTTGGCAGCACCAGGGTACCAAATCTCTGAGACCTGGTCACGAGACAGACCGAAAAGCGCACCATTCTTGGTGTTAGAAGAGATCTGAACAGGCTTCTCACCGGGGGTCAGGAGGAAGTAGACGGAGTTGTCGATGAGGTTGGTGCCGGAAATGAAAACATCGCCAGTCTCCAAAGCGTGCGCATCAGAGACCGCACCATCATTGAAGATGAGAGTAGGCTCCTTGCTGCTGGTGGCGTTACCGCTGGGAGCGGGCAGAGAGTACAAGCTAACGCGGCCGATGTTCTCAGCGGTGAGGTAGAGAGTCTTGCCATCAGCAGACCAGGCCACAGCCGACGGGCTGCGGTCCCAGGAGCCAGTGTTATCGGCAGTGGGAAGAGCATTCACGGCGACAGCCTTGGAGACATCGGAAACGACAAACAGCTGCAGCTTGTCGGACTCGTACTGAATCTCTCTCATACGGAGGAAAGCCAGGGACTTGCCGTCGGGGGAGAACACAGGAGAAGTGCTCTGGCCTTCAAAGCCGGTAGTTTCGACCTGGATGGGAGCAGGCGCAGTCGACTCAGTGAAGGTCGACAGGGGAACGTAGTAAACATTGATCTTGGTCCAGATAGAAGGGTTAAGCTCAGGGTCCTTGGCAACAAAGGCCAGTCCACTGCTGCTGACGTCGAAGTTGTCGGTGCCACCGAAAGGAGGTACAGGGCTCTCGAGCTTGGTACCCTTCAGAGCGTTGACAAGGGAAGACAAGCTGTACTCCTCGCCGTCCTTGGCCAAAGTACCGTACCAAACGGCATTGCGGTTGGGGGTAAGGTACGTGTCCCAGTGACGAACGAAGGTGGCCTCGTAGTACCTGCCAGTGGAAGGGACGGAGGCAGCCTTCTCGGAGTTGTAGATAGTGCCATCCGGCTTAGCGAGGGCAGTAATGGCAAATGCAAACTTGCCATCACCGAGGGAAGCGACTTTCACGCCGCTTGCAGAGCCATCAATGTTGCCAGCAGTGTAGTTGCTATATCAAGATCAGCATCATGCAGATTGAATATTATTATTCTCAACAATGATGTCAACAGTCCCAATTGAACAAGAAAACACTAAAACTTCCACTAACCTGTTCGCAAAGTCATCATACGGGCCAACCAACACATCGGTAGTGCCATTGGCGCCGGGAAGCAAGAGCAGGATGTTGTCGCCGTCCAGCCAAGTGGGCTCAGAGGCGTCGCCGTTGTCGGTGACAACGGTGCTCTCGCCCGAAGCGACGTCGAGCACGCGCACCTCGGCGGTCGAGGAGTGATCGGCGAATGAATAGGTCGACACGGTGTACAGCACCTTGGAGGCGTCGGCATTGGGCACGCCGGCCGAGCGGCGCGGGGCACTCAGCAGCACCTCAGGAGTGAACTTGGCGGCCTTGATCGTCATGGCCAACAGCGCAACCAGCAGGGCGAGATAGGTCGGGAGGAGGCCTGCGCGCGCCATGGTTCAGGTTCAGCGTCTCTCGCGATGCAAGCGGTGACGTGGGCAAGCTGTTGACCGCTTGCTGCAGGAGAAGTGCAGCTAAGGGACTAAGAAGGGGAGGGCGAAGGCGGGTGCAAGAGGAAACATTGGACAAAGCAAGGCACCGGCGATATATAGTCGGCCTCACGATCTGCTTACCTCAATGGCTTGGGAGATGGTTAATCCCGCGGACCAGGGACGTGGGTCCTCAAGTGGAAACAAACAGATAGCAATGCCTGTGCGCCGGGGCTTACCTGGTTGTGGCAGCTGCTGTGTCGTTGGGCAATGTAACGGTGCTTGAGGGCTGCGGAGAAATCCTGCCGGGGCCGGGGAGCTGTCGAAAAAAGCCCTGCGGGAGAGTGCCAAGCCAGATCGTGCTTTTCGATAAGCCGTGCGTTGCGAAGGCCAAGCTCTGGCGATGAGGAGAGGGTGATATGAGCGGCGCGGTGATATACAGGTCCCGACGCTGGAAGGGGAAGGTGCATTGCCCGACACGAGTGCTCCCCGCTCGCGAGCATGGCGTGCCTGCTGTAGTCGTTGCCGGCCGCGCCGAACCTGCAGCTTCCTGCGAATCCTTCGCGGGGGCCTAGATTGCCAAAACGGCTGGCGGCCTCTCGAGTCGTTGCACGACTGTTGGCATCCTTCGAGAGACAATCCTATGACGACGTCGAGGCGAGCTCCGGCGCTGGGAGCGCAGGCGATGCTGGCCATGAGTATCATCAGCGGGCTTGGCGACGGGGCAAAGGCGTGCTAGTGCAGGCGGCCGTCGGCCAAGCTCCTTCTTGACCCGCCGCTCCGCCTTCGCTAAGCGGTCAAGCTCTCCTGCCGTGGCCTTCGTGGGTGCAATATTCGTCATTGTTGGCGTGGTCGCGGTCATCGCAGGGCCTCGCTGCAGCGGATGCAGCTGCACGACATTCTCGAAGCAGAAGCAGCACGGCTAGGCCCGGCGTCCCCCGGACTCTTGTCAGGTACCGCCGTGTTCAGCCGACAACACGGGTCTTGATTGACGCTCAATCCCGACCCATGTCCGGGAAAACCTCATTGAGATTGAAGGTCGCCCGCAGCGTGACTCGGCCTCCGCGGGCCTGTTCCTGACAGGGGACACAGGTTGGACATGACGGCTATCCGCATCCACTGTTTGCAGACATTGTCTCACTGCCGTGCGACTCGACCATGAAACTGGATTAGATTTTATCAAGATGCAGTCCCAGAGGACCAGTCTTCAGCAAAGAAAGCTTGTTCCAGACCAACTCTGCATCGAAAACGAATGCAATAAGAATAGAAATGCACCAATTACCAACGCATCGTGCCTGACGCCTGCCCGGGTATCAAAACAGCGCACCGCAACCACCCTCAGATTCAGTCGTCGACGCCATCGTCGCCCGGCAGCTCCGCAATCACGTCCTCCACGATCTGGATCAGCTCGTCCACGTCCGGTCGCTCCGACGGCTCGACTCTCAGGCATTTCCTCACAACCTCCTTGACTGGGTCGCTGATGCTGCCTTCCTCCCGCGCTACCGCCGACCCAACCGGCTGCTTCTGCCTGCCGTGATCCTGCGCAGAGCTCTCGTCCGGGAAACGCCAGTCGCCACCAAGCACGCAGAGGCTCAGGCTGCCACCAGTCTCCTCGGAGCGCGCTTCGAAAGGTGACTTGCCAACGAGACATGCGTAGAGAGTGCAGCCAAGCGACCAAATGTCAACCTTGGTGTCGATCGCTGTATCCGTCTTCACATCGAACAGCTCCGGGGCCCGGTATGGCATGGTGCTGTGCTCAGCCGCCGTATCTTGCACTTGAAGGGCTAACGAGCGCGAAGTAATTTGGATGGGCGATGGTGCAAGCGAGCCCAGGTCCATGAGAATTGGCGTCTTGCCGTCGTCGGCAATCATAATGTTGCCTTGTCTACAGTCAGTGAAGTTCCTCCAATGAGATTGCCTAGTGCGCTCACCTGGCTTGATATCCCTGTGCGCGTACGCGCGTTGCTGTCCCGGCGCAACGCCATCCTGGGCTGCCGTGACTTCGTCATCCATCAGAGGCTCCGCCGCCTCGTCCCCAGCCTCATCCGCAGCGTCCGCATCAGCCCGAGCAGCCTGCTGTCTCACCCTCTTCGCCTTTGCTTGGCTCGCCGCCCCACCAGGCGCTCCCTTGACTTTGTACTGATGCATGGCCTTCAGCGCCTTGCACACGCCGAGGAACAGGATCATCAACCTGCGCTCCGGGAAATTGGTATGATTGACGAGGTTTGCATTGATCATGTCCTGCAGGTTGCCTCTCCGATAGTACGGAAGCAGGATGTACACCGTCTTCGCGCCTGGGTCCGATTTGTCCGACGCGATGCTGTGGTCTATGCAGTGAATGATGTTGGGATGCGGCGAGAATAGGCTGTACGCCTCGACTTCTTTGAGCGCCTGCGACACCGACTCCTGGCCGAAGGGACACCGTATCTTCTTGAGCGCGTACAGGTTCGCGCCCGACCCGTCCTGAACGAGGTAGACATAAGAGAAGCCGCCCTGCACGAATAATTACTTGGTCAGCGGTGTCCGCATCCTCACCGAGGAGGCGCTGGACGGTTTGAACGCACCTCGCCGAGAAGGCGCAAGATCTTGAAGCTGCGGCCGTTGATTTTAAGTTGCGGCGTGCCGGGAAAGCATGACATGCAATTGGTCAAAGAATAGAGCAGGTCGAGGAAGTATGAGCCTAATGACGACATGCTGAAGCGCGAGGCGACGCCGTCCGGATAGGAAGCGTCTCGGAAGGACGAGTGGTGGTCGGGGAAGTCGGGGTGGTAACCGCTACGGGCGATACGCGATAGCTCCAGCTTGACTGATTGCGAGGGTGGTGGGTATCCTGGCTAGTGGTTCAAGTGCCTGTGGTAGGCAGAGTGCGGGAAGGTGTGGATTGTGTAAACGTGGAAAGAAGTTAGAGCTGTTGTTGCTGCTGCGCCTGTGGCTTACGACAGGGCGAGCTTGGGCCGGATGTCCGGCTGCCTCACTGCCTGAGGCACCCAATCTGGCACGTGCTGGACCAACATACTTTCACGCCTTCCTAGATGGGCAACTAAAGCATGACTGCACACTGTATATGTAAACGGGGCATCTAGACGATAGCTTTAAACACTTCGACGTTATTGTAATACCAAGCGAACCCACCTTGGATTTGTTATGTTGTCGTCAACGTTATGCGGAGAACCATGCGACCCCCATCTTTAATCTCTTGGATATCAACCGCAGTGCCTTATTCGGCTGAAGGCGCTCCTACGGCCAATGATTCACGCCATCTAACTGGTTGCTAAGCATGTTCAATGACCCTTCCCTAGTTCCGATATCGGACCTTCCGTATGTGGCACTACTCCTCCAACACCGACATAAATACCCCGCCACTTTGCCAGGGTCTTTCGTAGGACAGCGCACTTCTCAAACCTGGGCTCCCACTAATAATGACTGTACACCAAGCTCAGAGAAAAGACCATTGGTCCTCAAAGGTTGGTATTCCCAAACAGATTATAGCATGGTAGCTCGACGGCTTGGACTATGTTCCCTCCAGATGCGAGCAGTTCAGCATTCCCCAATAATGCGGGCCACGACTAACGATTTCCATTCGCTCAGGAATATAAAACTTCCGCCTCCTTCGTACCCCAGCTCACCACCACCGTCCTCTCCTACCTCTCCCCCGAGCCGACCGACCACATCCTCGACATCGGCTGCGGCGATGGCCCGCTCACCGAGCACATCGCCTCCCTCGTCCCGCAAGGATCAGTGCTCGGACTCGACGCCTCCCCTTCCATGATCAAGACGGCGCAAGAGGAACACTCCTCCCTCCCCAACATCTCCTTCCAAGTCGCCGACTGCGTAAGCTCTCTTGCCCCCCCCCCTTCCAAACATCTGCGAGTATCCCCCTTGACGAAAATTTACTGAACAAGAAAAAAAGGCCGACCTCCCCACCTCGGCCCCCGACCTCCTCGCATCCGCCCGCACGGCGCCGCGCTTCACTAAAATCTTCTCCAACGCCGCCTTCCACTGGATCCTCCGCAGTCCGCACAGCCGGACCAACCCCACCGTCTTCAGCCACCTCTGCACGCTCCTCCGGCCCGGCGGCCGGCTCGTGCTCGAGGCGGGCGGGGCGGGCAACGTGGCCGAGGTGTACACGGCGCTGACGGCGGCGCTCGTCACGCACGGCGGCGTCGCGTCCGTAGCCGCGGCGCGCGAGGCCAGCCCGTGGTACTTCGCCGACGAAGGGTGGATGCGGGACGCGCTCGCCGAGGCTGGGTTCGAGGTCGAGCGGGTGGAGAAGGAGTATCGGCCGACGCGGTTGACGACGGACGAAGGCGGCGGCGTGGAAGGGTGGGTGCGATTGTTTGGGAAGCAGTTCTTGGAGGCTGTGCAGGGGGCGGATGAGCAGGAGAGGGAGAAGAGGAGGGAGGACGTGGTGAAGTGGGTGGTTGAGGCGATGAGGAGTAGTTGCGAGAGAGAGGATGGGAGTTGGTGGTTGGGGTATGTAAGGCTGAGGGCAGTGGCTAGGAAGCCGAGTGCTGCTTGAATTATTCTTGTGTTTTGCTAGTCGTACTCGTTCCAAATGGGAGATTAGCCTGTTTGTTACCCCGGCAAACGGCAATGATATGGATTCTTTCAAGCGTCCGCTGCTGCTGCTGCGGCCGCCTTCTTTCGCCTCATTAGCTCACTCAGCGGCACTTCGTCGTCGTCGTAAAACTCGGCGTCTTCATCCACACCAAAGTCCCTCAGCCTCTCTCCTTCCGAATTTCTCCACGCCTCCTCTCCAGACTCCTCGTCACTGCCACCCTCGCCCTCGCTCGGCGTCTCGTCGGGATCGAAGCTGCCATCTTGATCGGCGGCACTGTTTGCCGTGCGCTTGTGGAAGGGGCGCCTGCGCTGCAGCCCCGTGTTTTGCCAGCGCTTGAGGTCTTCTTCTTGGCGCTTCTTGAAGTCTGCCATGGCTTGCTGGTCATCGAAGTCCGGAACCTTGTGGGTGAATGCATCTTCGGCGTTGAATTGGCGCCTGGGGCGCGGCATGCGGTCTGGGTCGGGAGGAGGCCAGGTAACAGACAGATCTAGAAACTAGCATGAGTTACGGCCCTACGTTGGCAACCAAAATGTGAGTATTTACCTTCGAAGCCGTTGACCTCGAAGCTGAGGCCCGTTTCGTTCGGCGGAGTTGAGGCAAATGGCCAGAACCAGGCCAGAAACTGTGTTTCAACGTCAGCTGCGGGGAGGATAAAGGAGTTTGAGAAAACCCACGTTGCTAGTCCCCATGGCCTGGGCCATGTTAGCGAAGATGCCGATATCGTACGGAAACTCCTGCTTCTTTATCCTGATCCTCTTCCCGTCGGGCCCGTCCAGCATGCCGCCCAGATACCTTGCGCGGTTCAGCAGCGTCTCGTGCCTCTCAATCTCCCAGCTCTCGATTGTGGTGATGTTCTGGGCGAACATTTGGCCGAAGCGCAGGGTCATGATGCCGACGCCAAATAGACTGAGCGAGTTGACGATGATCAAAATGAAGAGATGGGAGAGCTGGGGAGCGGTTGGGCCGAGGTACTGTCCGTCGGATGAGTAGGAAGCAGGGCAGCTAGGGCAGAAGGCGTAACGCACGCTTGGGAGATGCCTCTTCTGCCAGATTTCGGCGCCGCGGATGTAGAGCAGGTACTCGTTGTAGCACAGAGCGAGGGATGCGTAGACAATGGTGCGCAAGAAATGCGGATAGGTGGTGTGAGAGACGCAATTTGCCAGCCACGGGCAGTGGTGGTCCATCTTGGGAATGCATCTGCATTTGTTATTAACCTATCTACTTTTGAGCGGTGGCAGGCAGGCAGTACCTTCCGCAGATCTTGCAGTGGTGGGTACGCGGCGGCTTGGGAGCATCGCATTTGCTACACCAGCGCGGGCGTACAGTAGGCGCGTCCTCATCCTTCGCTTTCGCCGGTGTGTCCTCTCCATGCACTCTTATGGGCGGTGGCACCCAGTCCTTCGGTACGCGACCCGCATCAGTCAAGCAGGCACGGATGAAGCTGATGAGCAGGCCGGCGAGAAGAAGATTGAACTTTATGGCCTGGTGTTTCTCTAAAGGGTGCGGGTCGAGGTGGGGATACAGTAGCTGTGACGAGTAGCCACATAGGGCGATGAGGAAGAGGACGGCAGGAACAGCGAGCGACGAGGCCGTGATGATGGCCATTGCGGGCCGGTGGACGAGTGTGAAAATGTCTGGCGGAAAGTCTACGCGTAGATTAGCGGCGATCCATGGACATCTGCAACGGCCGTTGTGGCAGGCGTGTTGCGCGCAGGTGGACGGAGAGCTGAAGCTGTGGGGAGACGTGTGCCATGACGCGCAGCCTCCGCCAGGCGCTCGCTTGCCAATCCGACATCAATCAACACCTCCTCCGCCTCCACCGTTCCCTCGCAACACTCCTCTCCTTTTCTATGCGGAACAAAATAACATGAGCCGCCACAATGAATCCAATCCTTGGTGAGCACCTCCCTCACTCGCGTGTTCAAGAAGCTGACTCCAGCTGCAGAATCATTCCTCTCGCTTCTCATCCCGGCCGTCATTCTGCTCCACCTGGCGTGGGCCCCTTACACCAAAGTCGAAGAATCATTCAACATCCAGGCCGTCCATGACATCCTCGTCCATGGCATCCCCACTGAAAATGCCTCCGAATTTCTTGCTCAGCACTATGACCACGTTTCCTTTCCTGGTTCCGTTCCCCGCACCTTCTCTGGCGCATTGGTGCTTGCCGGCTTGTCCAGACCATTTGTGCCGTGGCTGAGCTCGCCGCCCCAGGTGCAATTGCTTGGTAAATGCCCAGGACCCCATCCTGCTTCCCATGCTGAACCCGACTAGTCCGTGCAATCCTGGGCTTGCTCAATGCCTTTGCCCTACTTTCCTTCCGCAGGGTCGTGTGGAAAGTTTTCGGCAAAGCTGCCAGCAACTGGTTTGTCTTGTTCCAGGCAACCCAGTTCCATCTGATGTTCTACGCATCTCGCACTCTGCCCAACATGTTCGCTTTCGCAATGAGTGGGTTCCTGCCTCTTTTGTACCGCCTCCTTCTAACCGTGCCCAGGCACTTTCGCATTGAGCTTCTATCTGAAGTCCCTCACCAACCCTAACTGGCTCTTCTCTGCCAAACAGCTGCGCCTTTGCTTCTACCTTCTTACTATTGCGGGCATAGTCTTCCGCTCCGAGCTGGCCATCCTGCTCGGCTGCCTCGTCCTCCACCAGCTTCTGCAGCGCGTCCCATCCACAGGCCTCCTCCCCTTCCTGCGCTTCGTCATCCCCTCGGGCATCGCCGGTGCCGTCATCGGCCTGCTCATCACCGTCCCCATCGACACCTTCTTCTGGCGCACCTACCCCAACCCGCTCTGGCCCGAATGGTCCGCCTTCGCATTCAACACGCTTCACGGCCACGCCTCCGACTGGGGCACCTCGCCCTTCCACTACTACTTCCTTTCCGCCCTGCCCAAACTCCTCATGAACCCCCTTACCTACACCATCCTCATCCCCCTCTCCGTCCTCAACGCCGCAACCCGTGGTCCCTGCACCGCGCTTCTCGCCCCCTGCCTCTCCTTCGTCGCCATCTACAGCCTGCTCCCGCACAAGGAGTGGCGCTTCATCATCTACGTCGTCCCCGCCCTGACGGCCTGCGCCGCCGCAAGCGCGGGCTGGATCTCCACGCGCTACACCAAGGCCGCCGCGTACCGCGTCGCGACGTGGGCGCTGCTGGCCTCGGTCGCGCTGTCGGCCGCCGCCAGCGCCGCGCTGCTCGCCATCTCCGCCCAGAACTACCCCGGCGGCGCCGCGCTCGTGACCCTGCACAACCGCGTCGCCGTCGACGAGTTTTTCGGCGGCGCGCCGCTCGCCCCGCGCTTCAGCGTGCACCTCGACAACCTCGCCTGCCAGACCGGCGTCACCCACTTCCTCGAGAAGGGCGGGCCGCGCCTGCTGCAGCACGCATCCTCGTCCGACGACGACAGCGGGAAGAAGCATCAGCGCGACGGCGAGTGGGCCCTGCGCGCCGACGGCGGCATCGATTGGATCCCGTACTCGGACGAGGAAAAGGCCCAGAAGGCCAAGGAGGCGTCGTTGTCGTCGTCCGAGCGCTGGGTCTACGACAAGACCGACGATCCAGACGCCCTGCTCGACCCGGCCTTCTGGAACCGCTTCGAGTTCGCCCTGATGGAGCGTCCCGAGAAGGCCATTGGCAAGTGGGAGGTCGTGGACGTCATCTACGGCTTTGGCGGTATCAAGGTCGTGCGGCCGGGAGAGGTGCTGGGGACTGTGTTGGGCGGTGTGGAGGAAGGACTGGGGCCGAGGAGTGAGAGTTTGAGGCGCTTGGTTTTGGGTGTGGATGAACGGAAGACCGGATGGGTGTGGGGTGCGTTGGAGGATTGGGTGAGGGAGAAGGTGATGAGGGGTTGGTGGGTGGGTGTCAGGATGGAGCCGAAGATTAGGATTCTGAAGAGGCTGCCGGTGGTGTAGTGGGCCCGTTTTTGGTCCATGGCTGGCCTAGGTTTCTGGACTTGGTGAATTAACACCGAAACAGTAAGTCCCAAGTGATTTTCTCCTTCGATGGGCGATTGAAGCGAATAATTGGATTTAAATGTAAGTCTTGGAGCTACAAATGTATTCAGACGTATAATTCAACTACACACGTAAGCAGTATGGAATATCTCTGGTGATTGGATTTCACAACGGACGTCCACCCTGTCGGGTAGTTTTGATCTCTGGCTCGTGATGGGAATAGTCCATCCAGCTTGAGCCACGACATCTGTGTATAAGCAGTACCACACAGGAACGTCAAAGTCGAAGTACTGTCTCACTTCGTCACTGATGTACGTATCGCTGATCCGCATCAAGCACTGATGAAGCTATTCGGCAGCACGTGCCCCGGACGTAGATAATCGCATCTCAATAACGCTGAAATAACCCCTAAACCATTCTTCAAGGCGAAGGTGAAGTAGCCATTGAAGGCATCAGCCCCCAAAAAAAAAACAGTTTCCTTCCCTCTTGTTTCTTTTTCTAGTGGTGATTCGAAGGAGTGAGGCCCATTCTCCAGCCACGGAGTTTGAACGTTGCCACATGGGCCAGTTCCCGATGTCATTGGGGTTTTCATGAGAGCCTGCACCGTGGTTGCATTCCTGCTGGGGTATTTATCAGCCTCATGTGGGTTTATGGCTCTACAGTTGTACGGAAGTGCAGTAGGTGGGTGTTGAAGATAGAAAGCGGACAGGTTTTATAGCTTCCGGCTTTCAAGATGAAACCGTCCAACTTTTTTTTTTCCGAGGTTATGATACAGCTGACAGACTGGCCGGTGAAAGTTTACTTTTAGTGGGATCGAGGAGATCAAGTGTAATAGCTCGCATTTGGTGACTCATTCAAGAACAACGGCCTCACCTTCCATGCTAAATGTCCTCCACAATTATCCTGCGCTGATGGAGAGAGCATCATTATGACTTTTAGATGTCTCTGCATGGGGCGAATGGATACCTACTGCTTACAGAAGAGAGAGAAAGAGGCCCTCGCCAGTGAAGTGCTGTTCGCATCCCTAGATCTTCCACTATGCGATGTCATAGCTTCCGTGGAAGTACCTGTGCACGACGGACACGAAGGGGATACGATACTTGATATTTAAAATGGAAGGAGTTGATAGAAAATTCATTGTGAAGCCTGACCTGCAGTGCGTCTGCAGCCGTGCATCTGACGCTCTACAGAACCCCAGCAACCCCACGCCTCTCTAGTCACACGGATCAAAACCAACGGAGTCTGTACCGTCCATAAATCGCTCGTTATCGCCGTTCCTAAAGATTCTTCTTCTTCCACAAAAATCAATAAAACGCCCTGCTAACAACCTAATCAAAAAGGCTTACGACTCGCTCTTGTACAAGAGCGATAGCATCTTTGCAAGATGTCTCGAGCGATAATTTGAGCATAAGCCCGGGTTATTTGCCAGCCGATTTGGTGCTTAACAGCACCAGAAAACGATAGTGAGCGGTGGCTTTAACGGCTCGTGGCAATTGCCGGAAGACTTCAATAATGACGAAGGTGCATTTCTACGGCGAATTAGTTTTGCAAGAGGAATGGAGGGGCTGCTATTTGCTAGTAAAATTAGAAGCTGGACCACAGAGTAGTAGCCTTTGCTGTCTAACGAGATTACGCCATGCGATATTGAAAGGCTGTTGGTTCTGGGGGTACAAAGGATGTTACTTCCCATGTTGGGCAGGTGACGCTGTGGCATTCCTGCGTGCGTAGCTGGAAGCACAAGACTGGGTGAGGATAAACTGAATATTCAGATGTGTAACAAGCATGTAACATCATATTCGACACATATCTAAAGGCAAATCTGATGCACCGAGCTGTGATGGTATCATGTTGTTTAATTATTCTTTCGAGATGCTATTGTTTCTCCGTCATAGAGAAGAGCCAATATGCCCACCAAACTCCATGCTTAAAGGACATCAAGACTTTTTTGTATGTACATAATAAAAATCCATCTCTTAGTCTCATTCCCACGGTATCCTCATCCATCTCAAGCAGGCACATCCTTCACGCTCGCATTCGCACTCCCCACCTCCTTCTCCGCACTCGCGCCCAGCCCGGCTTCTACATCCAACGCACTGCTCGCGGCACCCACCGATGACCTCTTCTCATCCTCTCCCTTACTGCTGATGCCCCTGCTGCTCACGCCCTTCCTCTCCTTTCTCCTCACCTCGTCGGCCTCCATGTCCGACTGCTGCTCGGCATGGCTCTTCGCCAGCGTCTTCCTCCTGATTAACAGGCTCACTAGCAGACCCAGTCCGGCAAAACACACGTAGACGATCCACATCCTGGCCAGACTGTCGGCGAACGCCTCCCTCGCGACGGTCCGCTGCGCCGGGGGCAGCTGGTCCACGAGCTCTGAGTTCGCGCCCGCGCTGCCGCCGGCGAGTTGGCCGGCCAGCTCCGGGCCCAGCGCGCGCGTCAGCATGCCCTGGTGCTTCTGCATCTCGTTCTGGAACACGACGCCGCCGATGACGACCGAGGTGGCCGTGGCCAGGTTGCGCACGAAGCCAAACGTCGCCGTCGCCGTGGCGATGTCGCGCGGGTGCACGTGGGCCTGCAGCGCGATCAGCGGGCTTTGGAAGTTCGGGCCCACGCCGATGCCGGCCACGATCTGGTACAGGATGATCTTGGCCCAGGACGAATCGGCGTCGATGTCGGTGTAGAGGCCGAAGCCGAGGGTGAGGACGGCGAAGCCAAAAATGATGCAGGGATGGTAGGCTCCTGTTTTCTTTATGACGATACCCGTACTAGCAGAGACGATAGAGAGGGAGAGAGCGAAGGCCAGGAGGTAGACGCCGCTCATGATGGGGCCAGCGCCGCGCACGGCTTGGTAGTAGAGCGGGAGGTAGTAGGTGGCGGAGATGAAGACAAAGCCGTGTAGGAAGCAGGCAGCCAGCGAAGCGAGGTTGGAACGGTTCGAGAAGATGCGCAGCGGCATGATGGGGTAGGTGGCCACCTTCCACTCAAGCACGAGGAAAATTCCGATAGTGACGATGCCGAAGACGATCAGGCAGATGACGGTAGCCGATGACCAGGGGTGCGTGACGCCACCGAACTCGAGGCCGAGCAACAGCATGACAGTGCCGCCGATGACGGTGAGCGAGCCGAGCCAGTCGATGGCGCGGAGACCGGCGCCGATGGGGGTGCGTGGATTGTGCACATCAAGGAAGAAGCAGATGATGACGAAGGCAACGCCGTCGAGAGGCAGGTTGATATAGAAGCACCACCGCCACGATACACGCTGCGTGAGGGCACCGCCAATGACTGGACCGAGGGCAGACGCCAGCGCCCACACCATGCCGATGATGCCGAAATACTGGCCACGGCTGCGCATGGAGAAGAGGTCGCTGATGACAATGTTGACCAGGATGATCAAGCCACCACCGCCGACGCCCTGGATGGCGCGGGCCACGATGAGCATGCCGATGTTGATTGCCAGCGCTGCAACCAGCGAGCCAATGAAGAAAACAATGTTGGCCACGAGCAGGACTGGTTTGCGGCCGAAAATATCCGACAGCTTACCCCAGAGCGGCGTCGAGGCGGCTGCGGCGAGGTTGAAGGCTGATCCGATCCAGGTGTAACCTGCAGCCGACTGAAAGTGAGCGCTGATGGTCGGCAGGGCGGTGGTGATGATGGTGATATCCATTGCGGCGAGGAATACGGCCATCTGAACGAAGCGTTAGTGGATGCTCGTTGCCCAGTGCTCTTTTCTTTTTCCCCGTCTTCTTCTTCCATGCTGCCTTGCATAGACCCTACATTCCTACGACTACCGACTTTCCGACCCAAACCTCACAGCCAAGCTCTTTCGATCTTCCCCTTGTCATAAGATGAAAAAGCATGATACGTACCCCCAGTGCAAACATGATGATGGCAATCTTTGCCTTACTCCTCTCCTTCTCTGGCTCTATTTCAGCCTCCCCAACCTTCTTCTCTTGCAGGGCACCAGCATTTCCTCCTTCCACTGCGGCACCGTCCCGCGGTGCAGTCAGAGTCACGTTCGTAGGCGTAGCATCGTTGGTGGCCGAGGCGCCCATTCCAGCCTCGGCGTTGTGCTCGAGCGCAGCGGTGGATAAGGACATGATGAAGATTGGAAAGAAAGATGAGAATGTGGCGCCTCTTTTTAAATTAGGATCCCTTTCTTGGACCCGGCAGTTGTGGGCCGAACGCGGCCGCAGTGGCGCACGGCGCTACGGCGATTAAGAGTCCAGCGAGGCGCGAGGCCGAGAACGGGGGGAAGGCTGGTAGGCGGGGTGCCTTTCCTTTTCGTCTGCTGCTGACTTCCGAGGGTGGGTGGGACGAGGTTTATCAGTTGCGGGGAGCAGCGAGACCAAAGGAGGGAGGAGGTTTCGCGGGTTTCCGTCCGGTCTCGCAAAGGGGAGGGGAGAGGGTAGGTCGGTGACTGGACGAAGGATGGAAAATGGGAGCCATGGGTTTTAGAGGAGCTGCACGCGGCCGAAACGACAGACAACTGCCTTGCGGCGGGAAGTGGGTCTTCGGCGGCAGCCTCCGGGGTTAAGATCGACTGAGGCCGACCTTGATCGCAGACGCAGATCGGCCAGGTCGGGTGATGGCGAATAGACGGCGAGGGGCGTTGTGTTCGGCAACTGGCGTTAGGTAAGTGTAACGCCTAGACTCACCACTTCTCTCTCCTCGTCCATTCTCGCCCTCGCACCTCGGCCTCGGGCATAGCGAATGCAAAGGCGGAGAGGCGCATGTCTGCGGGTCCACATGGTGAGCCGGGGTCGCTGTCAGGCCTCTCCCTGCGCCCGCATCTTTCTTCGTCAACAGGACAGCGGACTTTCGGCGATAGGGAATCGAGATGCGGCAAGTGGCCGACTCCAACAGGCAAAGTGCCGACCAAACGCAGATAGACCCAGGCGCGCGGCTCGTCGCGTCCCGATCTAGACAAAGGCAAGGGGAAGTGGAACAATCTGCTTTTTGTTGACGGTGGAGACAGCGAGGCCAAGCTTTTTTGCGCTGTGACAAGCTTACCTCGACCGCGCCTGTTGCAACCGTTTCTTGTCAGACGCTGACACAAACACACCACCACAGAGTCGTGTTTCCTCGCCGTCGCTCGGCTGCGCGACGGCGCACCCGACGCCCGCCTGTGAATGGCGTCATTGCCCTCCCCTCACCGCCAAGCCTGCGCTTGCCGCTTTGGACCCATGGCATCGCCTGATGAGCTGCCCTGCCTCGGAGCGAATTGCGATGGACCTTTTGTTCTGGCTGTTTCATGCGTGAAGAATCGAGTCGAGATGAACGGTGGTTGAAACCAGCCGATCGCTGGTTTCATCCCTTGAGCGATCGGCTTCAAACATGTGCTAAATGCTCCTAAACCAGCAGCTTGAACCACCACCCACCAATCAACTCCAACGTCGTCGTAAGTCGCTGAGCATCCCGTTTCACTTAATTTCCACCACATTGCATGCACATGTCTACCTAGTACTCTTCTTTTAATGCAACACTGAAACCCCCCCTTCTACCGGCCGACGTCCAGTGCTGCTTTTCATCATGAATCGTGCTTGCATGACTCCTACCACCCTCTGAACTTCTTTCCGTCCGGAACGGGGACCGACCACTACAATAAATAGCGCAGCTGTTGGGGTCTTTGGAGGAATTCGCACTACCTTGCTATTATACCAGTTGCCTTGTCAGGGAAGGACCTTCTCTAAATATCAACCTCAGCTATCCAAATAAGCAATGTGTGATGGCTTGTTCTCCATGCCCACATATCCATCAAACGCACAACAATGTCTACTATCAACCTGATAAGACCGCCGTCTCTGCTGAAACCACGGCCAATGAAAAATCCACAGACGAATTCGCACACTCAACACAGCATCTCGAGAACTCAGGGTGAGAACAGAAAACCTTCTACTTTCTTATTACCAACAAACCCTCGGAAGAAAACGGTCAGAAATCGAACTGAATCCCGTCTGTAACTGGCCATCGGCGTTTTCAGCAAGTTCACCGAGAAATAAGAGAACGTATATCCATGAAAGATAGGAAGAAAATTCCATCTTGGAGCCACATCTTGAATTTTTGCTCTTGCCATTATGTCTTCCCCTCTAGCCTCTTGTTTTTTAGGTTAGGAAAAAGGAGCAAAGAGGAGAGGAGGAGACTACAGCCACCACACGACTCACGACTACTACCCCAAAAAAAGAAAAGAAAAAAGAGGCAAAGAAAAAGAAGAACCGAACACAGAAAGGGTATAATCGACACGAAACAAAAAGAGTAAACGCAGTCGGCAAAATGGAAGGAAAGGAAACAAATATCCGTGCATATGACCAGGTTGAGAATGCAAGTTGCTCGGTTACTGAAGGGGAGCATGAATCAGACCGCCAGCATCATATGGAGCAGAAAAGACGAGAGAAGAAAGGCATCCACCGGAAGCACCAGCATTTGCCCACGTCGTCCCATATTTCTACCTCACATATCACTGCGAGAGCTGATGTGCTCCCCCTTCTCCACGTTCTTCACACCATACAGGCCCCATGTCTTTTTGTTTATTTTCCGGCAACCTAGAAGAAAATGTTGATACGCAGCCAAGGAAAATTAGTTGATGTGGTGACGTGTACGCTCATGGCCGCGCGAAGATTGATCCAGAGAATCATTCCACGATTGCCGATTCTATCGCGCAGCAAATAAAAAGGATTAACTCGAACGCAAATGTGAAAAGGAGATGGAGGGAGTCAGGAGGTGCTGAGTCTATGAAATTGACGAAATAACCAGGAGCAATTTGGTATCTCAAACAGCAACTGGGACAGACACGATTGTTTCGTTCTAGTAGTCTATGCGATGCAGACGTAGCTCAGTCTGACAATCGCGATAGAGGACGACCATTGCATACGTCACTGAAGACGTAGGGACGTCAGACCGAACTCGGGTCCTCGGGAACGCTCGGAAGAGAAGATATTGATCAAGCAAAGGTTGCGGGTGTGCGGTGGATGTCATTCGGTTGGGGTACAGGGCATTTTCTAGCGATGGGCGCCAGTAACGATGTTGCCAGAGGAGTCCATGTTGCCGGTGAGCTCCGCGACACGGGCCTTAATACGCGCAACACGAGACTCAATCGTCTCTTCACCGCTGGTGTCACCATCATCCATAGTGGTGCGGGACGTCTGACTCTCACTGAAACGCGGGCGCGAGTACGACTGGTCCTCGCTCATCCGCGCGGCACGCTCAGCGGCGTTCTTGCGAATCTGTGCCCAGCGATCTTGAGTGGGCGACACTTGTTGCGCCAAGTCGATAGAAGCCGACGAGATCGACGAGACGTCCGCCTGGGAAACGTCATCGCCGCCGGGAGTCTCAGGAACCTCAGGCGCATCCTGGAAATGGGTCGCATGTGGAGTGAGAGCCTCGTCCTCGGCATCCTCAGGGGCAAAAGCAGGCTGGTCATCCAGAGGACCCTGGTCGAAGCGGGAGAATTGCGCTTCGGCCTCCTCACGCTCATTGGTGTGGACACGGGAGAGCGGTGGACGGTCCTCGGTATACATAACGGCTTCATTGCGCATGCCGGGAGCAGCGCTGGGCTCAGCCTTCTCAGCAGAGGCTTCCGGAGTAGGCTCAGCGGGTGCCGGCTTCTTGCGGCCCAAGCCAGAAAGGGTGCGGACCAGACCATTACCCTGCTGCTGAGGGACCTGAAGACCACCGCTGGCAGTCGGGACAGGCTCAGTCTTCTCCGGCTGGATTGGTTCAGTGGCAGCCTTCTTCTTGCCAAACAACTTCTTGAAGCCACCGCCACCGCCCGTCTGAGCAGGCTTCTTGAGTTTCTTATGCTCATCCTTCTTGATCTCCGAACCAACAGTGACAGAGGCCTGCTTCTCTTCGAACATCTTGCGCCTTTCAGCGACGGGAGAAGGCGAGACAGCCTTCTTCTTGTCCGAACGGAAGGCAGGGTGCACATTGTTGTCAGAGGTATCCAGCTTAGGCGGAGGGAGAGGCACCTGTGCAGCCGCAGCAGCCGCTTCGTTGGCGGTCTCATCCTTAGGAGTTGGAGGAAGAGGAGATGGCGCCAAAGGTTTGCGCGAAACGCTCTTCGGGGATCCTGACTCTTTAGGCAGAGGTGGGAGGTCGTTCTTCGTTGAAGCTACGCCAGGAGAAGTAGGACCACCATTCGAAAAGGTCGGGCTAGGAGAAAGAGCAAGATTCTCACGCGAAAGACCCTTGCCAGCACTAGGGTCACCGAGGTACTGAGCTCGAATAGTCTCCTTGTCGAAGGCACGCGCCCACTTCATCGCTGGACCGGCCTCGCTCACCACCATGGGCTGCAAAGTCATTACGCTGTTCGTCTTCGCTGTCGTCTCCTCACTTCTACCGCGACGCGGAGATGCATCCTGCTGCTTCTGCTGCTGCGCCAAGCGCGCCGCAGCGGCTTGAATACGAGCGTGCTGGTCCGGCCCAATACTGGTCTTGCTTGTCGGGGTATCCGTCTGAGCCCTGTCGTAAGGCTCCTTTATCGGTAGCTTCTTGCCGGTGGATTTGCGGCGGCCAAGGCGACCTCGCTTGGTGAAGCTGAACTTACTCTTCTTCTCCACAATGTAGGCACCTTCGGCGGGTTCCGAAGCACCCTTCACTTGTTCTTCGAGGACCAACCACTTGCCACCAGAAATGTTCGTCTCAAGCAGTGCACAGCGGCCAAAGACCGCCTTCCGCTCATTCGGCTCTTCAATTGCCAAACTCGTCATCCAAACCCACCAGAATGTATCATCAAGATCGAAAGTCTGGATGCTGGCGAGTTCTCCAGGCTCCAGGCCGTCCTCGGACGTTCTTAGGTGAGATTGCGAGCTCTGGACGCGCGCAACCTCGCCGATCGGAGGAAGTACCTTGTCCGGAGGAAGCAGCATGGGAGGGGACGAGGTCTGCGCCTGTCCATCCTGGAAGCCAGTTGACAAGAAATCCGCCCAGGAGGGGGTGGTAGGCCGGCCCATGGTATCGGCACGAGCGCGTGGCGTGGTCCGGAGTCCATTGGCGGTGCTCGAGGGAGTAGGGCCGCTGCTAGTGCTGGTAGGTGACGATAGCGAAGTGTCCAGGAAACCGAAACCCAAATCCTCAAACCTCGACCAGGAGGGATCGGAAGAACCTTCGGTAGCAGTACTTGACTGATTAGCCGATGAAATCGCATTCAGAACACGTCGACACTCGTCCGTCAAGGCCTGGACGGGATCCTCGTATTGGGAGAATCTCTGAAGAAGTCTGTCGTCATCACGGTATTCGAAATGCTTTGCCCGGCGCAAGAGTGCAAACGGAGTTGGAGACACTGAATCGACGATCATAACCACTTTCGTCGTGGTGGTCTGCATTAGGACCGGCGGCTCGGGAGGGTATTCGGTCTGATTGACCAGGGCTTGAAGGGAGCGCGGGAGGGTGTTAATGCCACTAAAGTTCCTGTCCTCCGGAGCTAGCGAACGCAGATAGGCGAAGAAAAGATGGCTCGTAGCATCAGCGGCGCTAAAGATGTCAGCAACTTTTCCGTGTTCGGAGAGCAACAACTTACCTCTTCCACGACTTGTATCCATCGTCGAAGCCCTTTCCATTGTCGGGATGCTCAAAGGCCCACCAGCCGGCCATTCTTGACAGTTTCCTTCCTCCAAGACCATTTGTTTTGCCGCGCGCAGATATGGCAGCCAGAAGGTCGAAGAAGTCAGTTATGATCTGCTTGCGTGCCTCCGAATCAACGCTAATCGGGATGAATGTATCAAATGCGTGCTTAGCCATGCCAGAGTCTGAGACTGTCAGCTTTATTGCGCGGCCGTCTTACAATTGGGGTCGCTTACCCTGCTCTCCCACGCGGAATAGCTCGTACGCGTCCCAGGTGACGACACCGCCAGGAAGCCTGCTCCAGCACCACTTCATGATGCTACAAAGTACCTGAATCTCAGTCAGCCCACGCACACGCAACGCGCGCCATGTAGCTCCTCACCATTGGCTCCGTCAAGCGCAGCTCTGCCCGCAGAGCTTCCCCTCGATATTCGTTTCCGCCCTCGTAGGCATCCCTGAAGAAGCTTCGAATAAAGCTGCGGGAGGAACTAGCGTCGGAGCCTGGCCGGAAGGGCAGGAGCAGGAATGGCGTGTCGAGCGCTGCGTCACTGTTAAACACCGCGACAATAGCGACAGGCCGGATCTACGTACCTCGCGACTTGAGTTCCTGGGTGCAAACGTGAATGAGCTCCTCGACCTCGTCGGGCGCGACCTCCTTGCGGGCCCACGACTCCTCCCAGCGCGGCTTGGGCGGCGGGAGCAGCTGGCCGTTGGAGTCGTCCAGCTTCCCCTTCTTCGCGTCGCGCGGCTTGAAGACCTTGGCGAAGAACGGCATTTTTCGCTGATTTGCTGTGATAAGGCTACGAGCCGGATCGCATCGACTGCGCTATGGCGCGGGCGAAGGGGGGAGCAGCGGTGGATCTGCCGCGCGCAGGGGGGGTGCGGGCTTTCGAGCGGGCGGCGGCGGCGGCGGGAGGTTATAGGAGTGGTGGAGACGGAATTTGGATGGAGCGAGCGCAGCGCGCATGCATAGGTGGGAGAACGAGCGACTTGGAGCGGCGTGGAGCAATTGACCGCGAGCGGACCCTGCGCTGTCTCTTGATGCGCGTGGTGGATTGTGAACAGGGGTCGCGTCCGACGACGTTGAGCACGGTGGTGGTACGGAGCTCGTTAAGGGCAGCGCGTCGGATATGGCGCGGCGGCGGCGGCGGCTGCAGCAGCGGAAGTACAAGTTCGGCGCAGCAAAAAAAAATGCCAACAGCAGACTGGGCAGGCTCTGACCGAGAGGGCGCAAGGCGTGTTTTGGGCGCTGGAGGATGGGGACTTCCCGGGCTTTAATTTCTCAGGGGAGTTGAAAGTATGGCGATCAAGCTAGGCTGCTTCCCTTGTCGCGCCCACCCACGCGCCGCGGCCTGTCAACCGTGCCAGCGCAGCGCAGCCTACCCTACAACATCGCCACACCTCTTGCCGGCATGCAAGCTTTCTCCAGGCCAGCACACCTAGGCCCGCCGCGCTGGCCCGACTGAAACACTGAAACCCCGCTCGCACGCGTTGCCTGCCTGCGAGCCCAAGACGGCCACCTGGCCCAGCCTTACGAGTCGCCGGGCAATGAGCCCATCTCCGAAGAGCTTCCTTTTGGCTCCGCCGTACGCAGGGACGCCGAAGCCACCCGCCAAGCGCCCTGATTGGCTCCCGTGCCCGCTCAGTCTCATGCTTGGGCGCAACGTGCGAGCGGAATCTCGCTACGATGAGCCACGCGAGCTGGCTGCAAAAACCATACAGGCGGATCGCTTTCAATTCCTTCTTCGCAGCTGCTCCAGGGGCCCTGGCTTGCCGGGACCACTGAGCCTGCAGCTCTTGCATCCGCTGGCATTCTTCTGATCTAGTGAGTGCGTCAAGGTTGGCAAATTGCTTTTTCGGGGAGCCGGCGGCGTATCACATCACGAAGCCACGCAACCGCAGGCGTGCTTGAGGCGCCAATGGCTCGCCACAGTCCATTATCATCGCCGTCCGCCGCAGGCCGTCCGCTGCGACTTCAGTTCGTTGTCGCAGTCGCGAAAGGTGCACCGAGAGAAGGATTGCCGTCGATATATGCGTGGTGCCCTAGTCAAACGGCTATCTGCACGACTACGCACCTCGTATGTACTGCCGACATCGAGGATAATCCCTCCACTGAGATACCTAGCTTCGGGAATGCCCCACTACCCGTCGTGCTCAGCTGCGCGTGCAACGCGACTCGTTACTGTTCAGAGCTGAGGGTGAATGACGGCTCACTAATATCTAGCGGCACGCTTTTGGACAGCCTCATTTCTCATTCCGCCCAGATCTACAATCAATCAACCACAAACATCTTCGTTGTCCTAGACAATACTCTCCATCTGTCCCTCTGATTGGTTACTGTCCGTTTATTGCCTTGAAACATTTGGAAGTTCGCGCACGTCCCACCAGCCACAGCTTGTCTCCAATACATATACGATGCAGGTGTTCCGTTTCTCTGTCACTCACGTGATGCGCGCCGCTCGCGTCCCGATGATGTCGTCATGCATTTTCGTCCACTGTTGACGTACCTGCGCTTCAAAAGAGCGCCTACCTTATATGCTCCAAGATACCATCTGAACCTGAATCAACAATCTTCTCCTTTGCCCGCCGCTTTCAAAGCCCAATTCAGTTCGACGTCTCGCAAAATGGTCAAGAACACCGAAACCGTCATCGAGTATGTGCAGTGGTCACATGTTGGGAAGTTGCACTAACATCGGATAGGGAGTTTAATGAACTCGTCAATATGTCAGCCAAAGATTTGAAGGATTGGCTGGGTAAAGAAGAATCGGCCGGGTCTGGTTGGAGCAAGGACGATGGGTAGGCTTGCTTCCAATCCTCTTATTATCGCGCTTGGCTAACACCTTCAAGTTCCGGTGAAACGATTGGGCACGAGAGGTATTCAATTCTTCTAGTTTGTGCAAGCGACCTTGTGCTGACATAGATGTAGTGGGCGGAAGATCATCAAAATCCTCGAGAAGAATCCAAATAAGGATCCGGAACAATATGATGAAGAGGATATCGACCACATGAGAAGGGTGGTTGCATATTGCAAACGCCATCTTGCCCAGGAGGAGAAGGCAAAGCAGGATACCGATAGCAAAAGTTACAAGTACGCATGCCGCGCCCACCGCTTAAAAGTATTACTAACCCCGCCGGCAGGAGCTTGAAGAACTGGGGTCACGATGCCCAGAAGACTTAGACAATAACGGATTCAATAATCATGTCACGAGAGCTATTATGCATTAATCCGGATCATTCCGACGGAACAGACCAAAGCCCTAGCTAGACCTATACCCGCATTCACGATTTCATCCATTCGTGTACATCGTTCTCCCCCGATGTTACTCAGATCTAGCCTTTTCCGACGACAGGTTTGGCGCAATGTGAACTGGAGTTAGATTCTAGTCCTATATGCGTGGACGTCAAGTGAGAACTAACATCATGATCTGCCGCTTCCTTAGGCACGTCGATCATGTTTTTGGATCGCGCACGTCCATCGGGGCGACCGGCCGGCAACAGCACGACGATCTATTGCAGGAGCAGGGCTAGCGGAGATATTACGCACCTTAATATCGGGGCTTGCACGAATCCTTTAATGGGAGCGTGCCGAGTGTGATTGCATGACTGCACTTATCCCCAACGTAGAGCACAACCGCGGTCAGCCACGACGCGCTGGTACGCGCATGCTCAGGTTTGACGTCATGAACTCCACGTGGACGCGTCTTCTTCGGCGCTTCCTTCTATCCCCAGCATGAAGATCACTCGAAGTTAACAAGGCAGAAGGAAGCAAATGCACGCTAATTAGCACAACCAGCTTACAACTTAGGAGCCGCCTTGCCCTAGAAAATGCTAATCCAATAGTAGCAGCCCACGACCTCTAGCATCCCGTTCCCTAACCTTCATAGCGCAACCTCCATTCAATAGGGGTGAAGAAGGTTGAAGTGGCTGATGGTTATTCTTCATTAGCATGTAAAACTAGGTCAAGCTAAAGTGCTACGTTGTTGCTTCCGATATCCGCTACCCAATACCAGACCGAAGCACCAACTCAGCGAACTAAGGCGAGTACAAACGTATTTAAAATGACGGTTTATCATGATGTGCTCTACTGTGATGAGCCTGATGCGAATAGATCGCCCATTAACCGCTGGTCCTATTTCAAGGAACGGAATGAATCTTCCGGCAAGGCAGACACGGATCCACGGTGGCGGCTATTCAGCAAAGCCGCTTCAGCGCCTATTGCTCCCAATCCCAGGACTAGGCTCCAGCTAAGCCATCGCGAACGTCTACTTCGATAGCAATTTGTGGGGAATCAACAAGGGGAATTCTCCACATGCAAGGCAGAAGCATGTCGCCGCCCTTTCCCCTCCACACAGCGTCCCACACATAGAATACGAGGGGCCTTGCGGGAAAGGAAAAGAAAGAGGCTAGAAACACGATGATCGTCACGCGCCGCATCGCGCCGCGCCCGGTCCGCGGAGTGGATGCCGATTGTCCTCCCCCAAAGGTGCTGCCATCCTGGACTGGCTGACGACACCGAAGGGAGGGCCCTGCACCGCAGATCACTGCGGCTCTTACTGTTTCAGCAAGGCCATGCTGGGGCTGAGCGGACGCTGGGGTCGAATGAGGCGCAGGCGCGAAACGCAGCGCGAAACTGACGAACAAGCTCGGCCGCAGCCACGGCGGCCTCTTCGCTCGTAACACGTTACAATGCCGCATGCTTTCTCTGTACCTTAGCATAGCCGCACTGTGTGGTTCTGAGTATAGATTACGAGTGAAGCGTTTCGCCAGCATCATGATGAGAAACCAGGCAGTTGAGGGGTCGGTGCATTCCACATTAGAATGCGAAAACAGCAGCAAAAATCAGCATCCGAAGCGTGTATGCCTATTCCGTCCGACCTAGAGCTCACACGGGGCTCTCGGAGAACAAGACTGAGAAACTGCTCTTGTAGTATACATGCGGTCACCTTTTGGGAGTACCGTGGTTGAAGCATGCGATATCGTTCGTCCGCCACGATTCTCTCTGCATTTTTAGCATCAGAATGCTCCGTCTCGTGCGGAAATGCCTACCGTCGTAGAAGTCATGCGGCAACTCAAGCGCCTATTGGATGAATGATGTTCCTGTTTAAAACGATCGGCGACGGGTGGCTGCTTGTCCGAACGGAAGGCTGGCACGCAAGTGTCTTCGGCCCCAGATGACGCTCCATGCAGTTCGCTGCAGCTGTGGTAAATCGACGCGTGGGCTGTGTGCATGCAGGCTAGGAGAAGAGTCGCGATGAATGACGGCTGCGGCTGTACCTGGCACCTGTATGCCATTCAGCGGGGCCGTCAGAAGCGGAAGGCAAGGCCAGCCGATGACATTGGGCTAGTTAGATATCTAAAGAACAAAGGTTCCGCAATGTGGAGTAGGCCGGGCTGTGGAAGCTCAGCTCGGCTGCGATTATGCAGCATCGGTTAGCAGGCCATCGTACGACGAGGACTTGGAGGGCTCCGTCATCATGTTCCAGCAGGCTGGCTCGCGATCTGATCGCGGTGGAGGAGGAGGGTAGAAAGAGGTTGTGTAGCTGGTCTGTCGGCGAGTTATTTTTAGAGACCCTAAGCGCCGGCCTTGCGTGCTGAGGGTCTCCAGCCACATCCGGGGAGGACGGATCGTGAATCGCTCCCGCTTGCAGGCCACGCTAAACATTATCGATCCCAGATGCGCGGGCTTGCCCACCTTATCGATGGCCGTCGCCGCCGCCGCCGTTCCTTGGGCAGCCTGTCTCATCTGCACGTCACTCGGGGCCGTTTGTGAGGGGAATCGGGGAGCCGTCCGCGCAGTAGGTTCTGACGTCTGCCCGCACCGTTCCCGCGCTGTTCCTGCAGCGCTGGACGCTCTGGAGCTGGCGCTGGCGCTGGCGCCGGCGCCGGTGCTGGAAGGCAGCGCAGCCCGTCTGGCGTCTGAAGGGCGGGACAGCGGTATGGGCGAGGGCTCAGGCTGCTGAGACGGGGCGGGCGGGTGATTGGCGGAGCGCGGGCTCGCGCAAGGGTGGAGGCCTGCCTGAAGAAGCAGCAGGCGGAAGGGTTGCACTACGTCGCCGGCTGCCTTGACCAGCGTGGTATGTCAGCATGGCATAGAGATGCTCCGGCTTCAGGGGCCTTAGCCCATTTCGTCCATCGTCATTTCCAGTCGGCTAATAGGTGCTTCAGGTGTGCCCCGCCCGCGCGCCGGACCCTGCTGCGTCGCGGCCAGCCAGCTGTCGCCGCGCGAGACATGGCAGGTCTGCATCACTGTACAGCCCCTATCAGACAATATTGATTCCTGTCAGGCTAAAGTCGCGTGCCTGTGGACCGCGAGCGAGCGGGCGGCGAACGGCGGGCTGGCAGACGCTGGATTGTCGCATAATTGCCTTGCCGGGGACTAGTGCCCCCATAATTAACTCAAATTCGCCTGGTGTGGGCTAGGCCGCGAGGCCTGCATGTCCGATGGCTCGGCACCTTCTCTCCCTCTAATTTATTAATAGAAGCAGCAGACCCGCCAGCCGCGAAACCTGAGCTCTCTTGTCACCGGCCCTGCTCGAGAGCCGCATCCCACCACCGCTCATCACGCCCTAAAACCCTCCAAGCTTCGCGCATACATAACGGTCGCCACTGCCGTCGGCGCCCTGCTCGGTCCCCGTGCGTCTCCACCAACGAACAAAGCGCCCACTCGACCTGACCTCCGCCAAGACGCGTCGCTCGTCGCCGAGATCCCTCGAATCCTCCACCACCACGCGTACGCGTTCTATGCGCACCCCGTAAACGCTGTCGCATCACCATGGGTCGCCGAAAGATCGAGATCAAGGCCATCAAGGACGACAGGAACCGCTCTGTGTATGTGCCCACCCGGCTGTGTGCAATGGTTTCAATCGCCCACGCTAACCCGCGACTCCTGCAGCACCTTTCTCAAGCGCAAAGGCGGCCTTTTCAAGAAGGCCCACGAGCTTTCCGTCCTGTGCTCCGTTGACGTAGCCGTCATTATTTTTGGCCACAACAAGAAGTTATATGAGTTCTCCTCCGGCGACATCAACGAGACCATCGGGAGATATCAATATGTGCGTCGGGTTGTCCGCCCAGCCCCCGAATTTCGTCCCGCATCTGCTAACGCTCATCCAGTATGGCGGCGCACACGAACACAAGGGCCCCGAAGACTTCATGGGCAAGGCTGAGGGCGATGAAGACGAGGAGGCCGAGGACGACGCACACGCACAGCAGCAGGGCTCAAACTCGCCACCGGAGCATGCTATGATGATGCCTCACCCTCTACAGAACCAACAATTTCAACACATCCGCCATGCGACGCCATCTGGGTCACCGCCCATGCCAAACGGCATGCCTTTCCACCACCGCGCCTCTCCCCAGCCCCAGAACATCTCGCGTCCAAACTCCCGCGCACATATTCGCAGGACCAGCTCCAATCTTGCCCCTCCCCAGCCCTACCCCCCTCAGCCGGCTCCTCCGCCGCAGAACGGCTACGCATACAGGCCGAACCCGCCATTCTACACAGGACCGCCCCAAGGCATGCCGCCTCAAGGCCCTCCGGGTCCTCCGCACCCGCCGCAACCCTCTTACTCGCACCCACCCCCGCACACCCAGGTCCAGCAGGTATACATGCAAGATCAGCGCAGAACGTCAATGCCCCCGACTTTCTCTCAGCCTCAACCGGAACCGCCGCGTCAAGCTTCTGTAGTCCCCTCGCCGCCGCAGCCTGAACAGCACAATTTCCAGAGCCCTCCGATGCCGCAACCCAAGCCTCTTCCCGCAGCCGCCAAGAACCAGAGTATCTTCACTCCAATCGACGACAGCAGATCGCTGCTTGCCCAGCATTGGGGGCCCAGCACAACCACGGCGGAACCGGTGAAAGCTGAACCGGTACCTCACATGGAGAGACCGCAGTCCATTGATGTTGCATCGATCGGAAAGCAGAATCATGTTTCACCACAGCAGCCCACTCCTACGTCGCTCCCTAATCAGCCGCAAAGGACCGCATCCACTTCGTCATTGCCAACCATTCCGCCTCCCACACGGACCAGCAGCGTAGCTACCGATGCCAAACGTCCTCGGCTCAAGGTTCAGATTCCCGACGAACACTCGGAGGCGGAGAACACGCATGCTTCTGGCTCCCCCAAGGACCCCAGCACAACAGGACCAACTCCAGCGAGAGGTAGCAACGAAACGTCAAATGCTTCTGGCGTGGTTTTACCTCCGCCGTCACCTAGTGCGAGTGCTCTACTCAGTGCTGGGGCAACTGGACCACCAAACCCGTTCGCCAGGCCCGCTCCTCCTGTCAACAACGCAAACAACAATTCGTCTCAACACAATCGCAACGACAACATGGACACGCCGATTTCCGCACTTCCAAGTCGCTTTATGGACGGCGGGCTTCTGCCCTCACCGTCTAGCTTTTACCCGGAGTGGGGCTTCGGCAACAATTCCTCAAACATGCTGCCGAGCCCGTTGACTTTCCAGACTCCGGTAGTGCAGAACGGGCCGAGCTTCCGGGATGACCCAGAAGACAGGAAGCGCAAGACGTCCGAAGGTTCCGACAGTGGGGCAAGCAAACGAGTGAAGACCTAAAGCTTTGCGTCCCAACCTCCAATTTGTGAATTATCCTCTTTTTTTTTTTGTCATCGTTCTCCATTCCCACGCTGGTTTTTCAAAAGTCGTCTGGCATGTGGATGTTGTTTAGACTGTCTTGCCTCGCCTTCGATTGTACTATGCTCGGTGGTTCGTCGCCTTCACTTCTTTCCATACCCTTTTTGCGCGATATATGGTTTTATTTAGTTGCTCTCTGCTCCTGGATACCCTGAGGTTTCGACACTCGTTCTCTCCTTGGCCTTCTTCTTCATCCCTTTGGGGATGGCAACGGGTTATAGTCCCTCTTTTCCCGGTACGACGTCCAGAGCGTTGGAGGTGGGTGGATGTGAGGCGTTTGTCCGCGGTTCTGTTGCTGGTGTTTGGCGGCGATTATGGGGCGGTTGGCTTGCTTTTCTTTTGCTCTTGTTTGTTTTTCCTTGATACAGAAATGTGTAGATAGCTCTACCTGAAATACGCGGGGGCGCGTCTATTGCGGAACTTTCATCGTTGCGAGAACACAAGGTGGTCTGACAGTGGTACTCATGCAAGATTGATAATCATATTGGTAAAGATACCTGGATTCTCTGTCTGATTAGTGCACGGCAAACATGTGTGTATGACTTGTCTCCAGGCGAGTGGGCGTACTTTAGCCATGGGGACATCCGGAGTAAACCGGACTCGCTCAGCGGGGCCGGCAGGTGCTTCCTCGAACAAGATTGTTCTTGTTTCTCGCTAGCTTTCTGCGCCATGGAGAACACGCGTCCCAGGGCTATGTAGGCAGCCGTCGGTTTGGACGGGATGACGCTTTAAGCGAACGCCTGCTGACGGCAGGCAGGCGCATCGCGCGAAGGAAGAAGGTATCCTTATATAGTCCGAGCAAGAGAACCGCCATGCGGCGGTCACCCAAGCCTGCCGAGCAGATCACAGACCTCCGCCGGGCCTTGTCGTATTCGCATTGCGGGCTGCACGGCACAGAGCTGGTCGTCCGTTGACGACGTCAAAGGCCAAGGCGGCGCCCAACAGCGACTGAATCGCGCAGGTGGCCCTTCTGCCCTGCGCGCCCGACCCCACCAAACGCTGTCGACCGCTGCCATTGCCGCTGCCCACTAACGTTATCCCTGATCGACCAGAATATTCTCACCGAGCGCGCCATCCGTTCCTTCGCCAGGAGCGCATGATCCCCACCGATTTCCATTGACTCGCCTGTTTGCGCCGCGCTCCACCGTGTGACTGCCGCCAACCGCACCGGACAACGCAGTGGTCACCGTTCAGCCGCACGGGGCTGTCAAGAACCAAGGAAGCCCAAGAACGCCCTCTTGCCGCCTTAGATCCCTCAAATACCCCTCCTCCGCCTGAAACCCTTTCCGAGCGCCGCATCTCCGCGTTCTGAACACTCATACCATGGCCTACAACAAAGGCTACAATCCCGACGCGCTCCCCGCGCACGCTGAGCCTGACCAGGTCCGCATCACCGTCCTCTCCGAAGGCAGCACTCACTGACTGAGACTTCCTTTATGCAGGCCGCCGCCGCGCTGTCGCAGGCCCAGCAGCAGCGCATCTCCCCGCGCCCCTCGTACTCATCGCCGCGCCCCAGCGGGCCCGACTACAACAAGCCACCGCCCCCACTGCCCAACCACGGCGGCGGCGGCGGCGGGCACTACTACAACGACGGCCGCCAACACAGCCCTCGATTCGGCGGCGGGCCTCCCCCGCCGCAACATGGCCATCACGGTAGCAGCGCTGGAGGCGGTGTCGGTGGCTACTCGTCGCCGCCGCCGCAGAATTACGGGGCGGCGCCCGCGCCCTCCAGCTTCAACCACGGGCGCCCGCCGCTGAGCCAGGCCGGTCGTCCCCCGCCGACGCCTGTGCCGCCGCGCGACCCCAACGACCGTGAGGCGCTGTGGCGTCTGTTCGGTGCCGTGGACAAGAACCGCAGTGGGCAACTCAGCGAGAGAGAGCTGGGTTCGGCGCTGGTCAATGGCGATTGGACGTCGTTTGACTCGCACACGGTGCGGATGATGATCAGGTATGATTGGTTCTGGAGCTCGTTTTGCTACATTCCGGCAAGAGAGCGAGCTTTTCATGGTAAGACGCGGGCAGTGAGAAGCTGATGAACTCTTTGAACAACAGGATGTTTGACACGGACCGCTCCGGCACCATCAACTTTGACGAATTCTGGTATGCTGGTCACATCTTTCCGTGGTTGCCTGTTGGATTTCTAGGCCCCTTCTGACGCAAAGTGATCATATGTAGTGGGCTCTGGGCCTTCCTTGCCGCATGGCGTACACTTTTCGACCGCTTCGATACGGACCGCAGCGGCTCCATCTCGTTCAACGAGTTTTCAGAAGCACTCGTGGCGTTTGGCTACAGGCTGAGCCCGCAGTTCGTTGCGATACTGTTCCGCACGTACGACCGTCGCAACCAGAATGCCATCAGCTTCGATTTGTTTGTTCAAGCCTGCATTAGCTTGAAGCGCATGACGGATGTGTTCAAGAAGTATGACGAGGATCGTGATGGCTATATCACTCTAAGCTTGTAAGTTCATCCTTCTCTGCATAGCGGATGGGGCCCAGGACCAGAGCCTCCTTTTTCTCTATCTCCAAGAGCCCTCTCTATCTTTGGAATCCAACATCAGACACTTTGCTGACTATATCTTCTTTTGCAAATTACAGCGAGGAGTTTCTCACAGGTGCCCAGTCCCTCTTCCTGTTCAACTCGATATCCTCGAAAACTGATACCGGTCTCTATTAAAGAAATTGTGGACCAGTCATTCTGATGATGTTGCTTGGTTTTGCTCCCTTGGGGAAGAGCCGTCACGTAGCCTCCTGAGTCCGGATCGAACAAGATCAGTACGGTCAAAATTTCCGCTTTCCTGAAGCTCCTCTCTCCGATCCGCGAGCCTTATGCATGAATGGCGTGCAAGGGAAGACAGGAAGGTCATGTGTGAAAGCCTTCCAAAAGCGTCTCCGAGGATTGGCCCGTCCTACGCCAAGGCTGGGCAGGGATTTCACTTTTTTTTCCGCGGTCTTGGCTGAGAGTGAAAGGGGCAAAGGTCTGACGGGGGTTATGGAATTGCGCCTAGACGATGCTCGGTTCTCCGGGATGGAAGAATGACTGACGGCGGTTGTTCCTCCTGCCCTTTCTGTTTCACTGTCCCATATATACCCTGTCTTTTGAAAAAAGGAAAAACTTAACTACTCACACTCTCGGTTGCCTGATTGTCTGATTATCGTCGAATGTTGAACAAAGCATTTGATTTTATGTATGGTATACGCTCGGGAGAAGAAAGATTGAGGAGTTAAATGGGATGGAATGGATGTGGATTGTTTGTCTGGGCTTTGTGACTTACTGTTCCTCTTGAGCTTTGCTTTGAGGGGCTTCTCGCAACGTTGTGGTTGATGTGATGGTGATGATGATAGGTATTAATTGATATATTATGTATGTAGGATGTCGTTTCGCGCCTATAGCCCCCTCTCGCAGCCGATGGCTAGCGTGGATTTGTTTTTTGCTCATGTCATGGGTAGCTGAAGCTATCGTCCGGACGCGAATGTCGAATTAAAAATTCTACATACACGTCCAGACAATAGTTTCAAATACCCACATATTTTTTTTTGAAAAAAAAAAAACAGATGAGGCATGGTTACCCTCGAGGATTCTTCGCGCTAGCCATCGGCTGCAGCACCCCTCTGTAATCTGATTGTGAAGTATTTCTTTTCTTTCCCCCCCCCCCCCCCCCCCCCCC